TATTATAGAAAATTGGACCAAAACTCATACGAAAGTCTAGTTTTTGGCGCTTTTTGCCATTATTGCTCATTATTGAAAACAATTTCCTCTTAATTTTTAGTTCGAATTGACGTGATTATGCTAATTAGCAACAGTCATAATGAAATATATGTTATTTACCGGCCAGGAGATCCGGATAGGGAAAAACTGTGCTCGAGATCTTGAATATATACGTAGACCGGGGCCTACGAGCCTACGAGATATAATAAAATACATATCGTCTGATGTAATTGAAGACTGACGATGAAAGATGCGCCGCATCACAAGGGAAATCCATTAGCTTGTAGAACAGTATTAAAATGTAGTTAGTCGATAATTTCGAAGTGTTGTTAAGCCATGACCATGATTACAGAATGAACTGAGCTCCGGGTCTCGCTCTAGTCACTAATTACTTTTAGATTCCGAATGCGCGTTGTGCGAGGTCCCCGTTTTGTCCCTTTATGCCCGTGTGTCGGTGTGGTCACTCACGGCCGGTTCACAGCCTGCGTAGCGGCTCTTGGGAGGGGGTACTAGGGGTTCGTGAGGGAACGCAGGCTATATATATAGATACGCAAATGTAATTTTCTTCTGAGGAAAATAAAAAGTAAACATTTGCACATATGTTTTCTGCAAGCGGTCAATTGGATTGATAAGTGGTCTGGAACGGACTTAGGTTTATAGTTATAGCTTTGTTTATCGTCGTTCAAAGTTTAATGTCGCCTGTTACGAATTTCTGCTGGTCTGTCGAGGAGAAAACGCAGAACAGACTATGGTTTTACGGTCGCAGAGTTGACAAGGGCTGTTAACAACATGAGCGGACTGTACGTGTAATACCCTAATTAAAGCGCAGCGCCTCTGAAGACGCACTCTGCCCCACAGCAGTGATCATGGTTATTTTGCTGTAAAGTTAATCTATTAGCCAGATGTTAGCCATGTACAGAATAATACCACAGGATAATTACGCAGAGGAAAACGTTCCGCTAGGAGCTTCGAGGGGTTTTCTTAGGTTTTGTATCTTCGATATGAGGTGAGTTGATATTGAAAGCCATTGAATTCAAGGACTATACTTGACGGATGTTAACCTTTTGTAATATGTCGAGTACCGCGAAATTACGTTAAAATGCGACCATAATTAGAGGGTGGCCATAGAGGGTAGCATACGAATGTGTTTCTGGCTACAGTGAACTGACTGTATATTGAATCACCGTGGTTTTAATGTTATTTAGAAACTTCGGATCAGGTCTAAACTATATCTACTCGCTGGATTAATGGCCATACAGGGAACGGAGTTATTTTATTAGCAGTCTATCAACGTCTGAGGATTTCAAATCCGCTTTTTGAAACACCATGGTAACGTCGAATGATTCTCTTCCATGCAATACCAACCAAATCATAAGAGTCGATTCATTATCTTTTTAACTTGGGTTTAAATACACCAGTTCGTAAGGACTCGTCAGGATTTAATTGTCTTTTTGATGCACAGAATCTCTAAGAAGAAGCTTCGAGATGTGTGGCAATACCTTGGTTTTGTTCCAGTTGCGGTAGTTCTCGTTGTGTGGTAAGCTCACGTTGTATTTTATTGTGCAATACTCGAATACTTTATTATAATATGATAAAATCCATGCCCAAAGGCTTTTAAAGCGGCTAGTATCTTATGAAGTCGGAATCTTCAATCGCGCTGCGAATTTCCGGATATGACTCGAGTACTCGGTGCGGCATTCCGGCCTCAACTCCCAGAGAGTCAATACATTCCTATATATGTAGTCTGTTCACACATTATATACCAATTACAAAAACTGAGACCCAAAAAGGGTTGATTCGTAGTAAATAGTGCATAAGTAAGGTTGACATAAAAAAAACCCTTTTTCCAAACAAAATGGCTGAAAACAAAGCATAAAGCATGCTCAAACACAGGTAGCCCAACTTCTAGTGTCGAATTCATAATTACGATAGAAAATAAAATTCATGAAATCATACAAATAATAATCAGAGGTGCAAGGTAAGCTTTTCTTGTGACGTTCTATACTATCTTACTGCCGAAATTTATCATCGCTGTTCAAAATTTTTATATCAGATGTTAGGAAATAATCACGGACACTCAAAGTTTGTTAGCTAATCAATTATAGGCTAATGAGGAGAAATTTCGATACTGATTGATACTGATAGGCGTAGAATGTTTTTGCCGCTAATTACAAAACCAGATCGCTGATCAGAACCGGTTAATCTCACGTAAATCATCGAAATGCGAACTGTCTTATCTAAATATTAACATTGTTGTGATAAACCTAGTCTCAGTCTTATTCGATATCCCGCACAAGATTTAATGAATAGTTCAGTAAATGGTGGAACGTTTTTATAATTTATATCTTACCAATAATGTTAATAGGTGACTGTCTCACGTCCTCTACAGCCCATACGCATGCGCACGTATGCATGATAACCGCTGTAGAGAGGATAGTATCAGTAAACTGTCGATCGAAATAGGAACTCTTTTTTCTAGTCGTTAATCGACTCAATAATGTCCGCTTTTATTGATACCATGTGTTGTCGGCGGTTTGTATATGTAGAGCTGACCATGCATAGCATATTCAGCGCACCAAGACTAGGTAACGAGCGCACTAGCGTCTGTCTGTTGCGTATGTAGCCGAAGGGTGATGTCATCTGTCTGAGGGGAGGAGACACCGTTCTTGGGGCAGGGGGAAGGTGTCATCTTCCTTAAAGGAGGCGGAGGTGATATCTCTTTGGAGGAGAGGAGGAGATGAAGCATGTGAGAGAAGAATAAGCCTGAAGGGAGATGACGTTTTACCCCCGTCGCTAGACCATAATCCTTTTCGCATTGCTTTTGTTCTTTAATTATGACTCAGTATTGTTCCTGTATTCTCTAAGGAATTAAAAATTTCAATATGAAAGAATTTTAAAAACTATTATGGTATAGAGTCGGGGGTAAAACGTCATCTCGCTTCAGGCTTATTGCGATATAAGTACATTTAAAAGTGTATGCGCATGCGTCTTTGAGCACGGTACTCATATGCGTTCATACCGCGCGAGAGAGTTACCATTTTGAAAGCCTTCTGATAAGAATTCCATCCTTTGACGTGTGGTAGACGGCACGAGTGCAATCCAATATCAAACAGAATATTCTTAGTGCAGACCAAGAGATCTGAGACTATCGTAATTAATGATACGCAAACCATAAATGGAGAGGGTACGGTAATTTCTGAGTCATGGCATGTTTAACAGTGGGTAGATACACATCGATGACACATTAAGCTCTCAACGTACAGGCCAGGCATGAATATTGTGTTTGCATGCGACAAAACACATTTTAAATCATATGCGTCAGAGAAAAAAAGCGCATCGTTCATAGTATTTCAGTGTTGCTGTATTAGTTTATGACCTGCGCCATTATCTATCAGGGCCCGGTTGTACGAAGCCTGGATAGCGCTATCCGGCGGATAAATCCTTATCCAGTGGATAAGCCGATGCTGTTATCCAATAAATTTATCCACTGGATAAGATTTATCCATTGGATAGCGCTATCCAGCCTAAAAATACCGTTTTGTGATACTTTCCGAGAGGTTATGTTTATATCCGCAATTCCCTATCGCCCCTAGCAACAGTATTTTGGTTCATACATTGGTTCCACATGTTTCAAAAGAACTTAACTGCAAGCGCCATACAGTTTAGGAGTATTTCAACAACTACCTACGCTCAGGAAACGCAAATTACCTTGGAATGTTACTACCATTAAACCGAATATTTATCAACTCCGTATGCTGAATAACTAAGGTCTAAACCTCCTATTGCTTCAATTGGTCAATTCAATTGCAGTGGATGGCTTCGTTTTTAGTGGGATTTTAGAAAAACGAAGATGTTGTAGCCTCAGGTCGATTATTGTTAATTCAAGTAGATGAATCTTAAGAAGACTGAGCCAGACATAAAAACAACCGCTTTTTTCAATTCTGCCTTGCGGGAATTGTAACAATAAGTGGTCATCGTAGCCAGGCATTCCATCATGTAGTTAAGTGAAAAACACAAAACTGCTTGACGCAGATATAGGAGTTTTCGAGTATTGGAGTATTTTGCTTGCGCATAAGAAATGTCATATGAATACGTATACCCGACATAAAAAAACCCAACTATACTGCTAATAAAGAAAGAAAATGAAGTGACTATATGCCAGTAACCACGTCTCATGTACACATCTTGTACATAGCAGTACTAGATCTCTCTTGTGCCAGGACGAACGGATGTAGGATTTTGAGTCAGGGGTTGACCCCATAAACAAATGTTTCACGCGCAAAAGGCACAAGTGTTTTGGGAGGTCCACTTCTCACAAAAATTCTCTCATTTCTCAGATGTACGTTTTAGTCAAAGCATCCATCCATTCCTGGACAGGAAGGCGGATTCATAGGTATCAAGTGAACTTCCTCTGGATCCGCTTCTGAATACAGACAACTTTTATGACACAATTCTCTTATGTACGGATATTTTGACACATGTACAGCTATAGTATACACGTACCGACATATAATATATATTTTTATGGCACATCGCACACAGGAAAAGACAGTTTAGACTTAGTTTGCACGAACATCTAGTTACGATAAAAACCCTATTAAATTGACCACGACATCTAAAATGCTTTAACCATGTTTGATCATTAATTGTGACATGTGCACAACGAGTGTTTAATTGAAACGGTTCATATTTTTGAGAATCCGTCTAATCCAAACACTATGTTTAGGATCGATTCTATTGCGGAGCGTGATTTGATCAGACCTCACAGGGCGGTGAAAGCACGCTTGGCGCCGGCGTACTTTGCCAATACGGACGTCGCTCACGGTGTAGTCACGGTTGTGTTAACTTCCATGTTAGATAGAATATTTGTTGGTTAGGAAGGTTTCCTCATTCCATCATGGAACGAGAGCTACAGGTTTAGTCAAAACAAGCTTATAAGCCGATAATTAATGATAGGGGGATTTACCTTGGTCAGTTCAGCTCGTAAAACGAACCTTCCATCTGTGATAAAGCTTGGTCTGTTGATTTCTATGGAGAAAGCAAATAATTCTTTTGAAAATGAAACTAGATTGTTTACTATTCAATGGTCAGCCCTATTTATAGCTGGGAGGGGTGGGGATACCCTGTACCCCGGCATTACATCTGGTAGGGTAATCACATTGGGGATCTTGTACTTAATGAGACTCTAAAACTTTCAAAGTCTATGTATTGGATTTTTAAAATACTATCTGTTTTAAGGTAAGCTATAAGACAATTGATTTTTTTTGTGTACATAATATTACTACTGATAAACCCATCCAGTATCGAACATACCAAGGACCATGTTCGGAGTAGGAGGGAGGTACTTATCGGTATCCACTATATATGCAAATAAAATCGGGTCCCTACCCGGGGACATTGCTTTGACCTCTCCTATGTTATTAAGATAAATCTGAAATAATGCTCACAAGTTCATAAAAAGTATATTTGAAAAAAGACAAATTAAAAAAGAAGTAGAAAATATTTTTTGTTTTTCAATTTTTGATACTTTGTTTAACTGGTTGTTAATAACTGTTGTCCCAAAAACAACACATGCTTTCACAAGAGGATATATTCTTATTGCGTCGATTTTTATTCTCCTGTGTACGAGACCTGGCTAAGCCCGCCACGCCTAACATCCCATTACATATAGTTCATAGGATACGATGTAACGCAGGGGAAATACGCACTATATCATATGATGATCCATATCACTGTATGGTAGTATCGAATACTCTATGTGACGTTCTGCACGCCAGGTTTTTAACTCGTTGCAGATGGTACCAACATGCTCGCTAAATCGTTGACAAACTGCCTTTGAAATGCATGCTTTATTATGCTTTTAAGATCATAGTTTAGCCTCTGAGAATAGAAGGCAGGAATCATCGATTGCCAAGGTGCAACTAAACCGGTTATTGATGAATCATACGAGTTTCGTTCTGTTTGCAGATTTTTGTCAACACTCATGCAGTCTAACAATGAATGAACCAAGGTTATCTAGTGAATCAAAATGTGAACACACACGAAAAGCTCTTTCTATACTAGTCAGTATTAGCTTTCATCACGATTGGATCGTCCATTCAGTCAATGTTTTATCTGTCGTCGTCAATCAGTATATTTACTTGTAAAGGAAAGTTCATGAAACTAACTTTTCTCGGGAAAAAATTCCGAGCTCCAGGTGAAAAGGTTTTTTTTTCCCGAGAAAATTAGCTTGTGGAAACGTAACGTAATATATCTCTAATAATTTCATACCAAGCATGAACCGTTTAAAGTTGGACAAAGTTTCAAAAGTGGAATATTGTAATAATAAATGTCAGTTTAAAAGCTGATGTACATATTTATCGTTTGATCATAGACAAACTTATATTTCATGTCACGAGAAGCAAACAGTGCCACCTCGTACATAGGCAAATTCGTTTAATCATCCCATTGCATCATAATGGGGTTTATCACGGTTGAACACGTCACTCTTCGCTAGAGGCACGGAGACCCCCTACAAATAGCTACGAAAAGCCGGCCCTTCCACTGTTCTTATAACACATGTATTCCGACAGTGGTATAAATCAGTGTATCTATACACACTGTATTTAAAGGTTAATCAGTGGAAAAGAGTGCCTTAATAGCGTACTAAGTGATCTGAAGAGACGCTATCGGTGTGGAATCATAGGAGACTATTATAATCATTAATTTTGTTAATTTATTGCAAATGTAGATTTAGGAAGTCATATCTTATTTCTTAGATCATTTCAATCGTTTTTATCGACGACACACTCAAAGATATATTTTTCTCTTAGCCGAGAGAGTGAGTCGCGGATAAACTCTGATTAATGAGATAATCTAAGAAACAAGTTATGTGTTCGATTCCTATCAGGGACTCTGTTTTTTCCCCCAGAGTTTCTTTCAGCAAGAGACCAGTGATAAATCATTTCTACAAGATATGATATGTTCATAAAAAAGTCGATATCTATCTGAGACAAGACGATCAAGAGACAATTCATGGAAGAAAAATTGATTGCGATGAGAGTTCCTAGTTCACGATTCAATGCGCACTCCTCGAAACTTCTCGTAAACGCAATTTAGCGAAGCGACACTGGTTATTGAAAGAAAATCACTAACACGTTTACTGCGTTCCTTAAAATAACCACAGCCTGCTACGCCCATGCATCGGGGCATAAACAGGAAACAATAGATCTAATTTGATTACAAATAAACAGCCAATTCCTAAAATACCACAAACTCAATAATGACATCTTAAATAAAAGGTATCAAACATTATCTAGTTGTAAATAGTTTATTATGATGATAAAAGTTAACTGAAGATTCTTAGTAATCAAATCTGGCTACCTTAAAATTATCGTATTTGAGTAGAGAGACTGATTTGTTTCATGGAACAGTAACCGCGCGATTAGAATGCTTCAAAAATGCCCTGAATCATGCCGAAGGCTGATCGTCCCAATTCAAACACCTCAAGTTTATAAGTTCGTGATGTTATCTGTACTGATTCCAGAATGGTGATAGCATTGACAGAGAGAATAAAAACACAAATCTTAACGTTTTCACACATGTGCGCCACCTGTTCAAGTAGGCTGTCCTCGATAGCAGCCAACTGACCAGGAGGTCAATCAACTCAGTTCTTCAGTGTAGACTTGTCAACCTCCCGCAATATTAACTTGAACATTCTTCACTTCAACTTCAAAAAAACGTTAGGCTTGGTTTGAATGATGCTGTAAAGTTGTCGACTTTAGTGAATTATTCAATTTTATTATACTAAATTTATTTTTATTCGTATGACTGCCTTTATGTCAAAGAGGACAAAAATAGTTCAAGAAAGTTACTGCTTTAGCAGTAATTGACTTGAAGTTACCGTGTCTTGGGCAGATTAAATGCTGTTTCCTTTTCGTAGATATTAGTTAAAAGAGGAAAAAAAATCAATGCTTTGGCTGTGAAAACATTCAATAGTTTATCCACAGGAATTCTTGGATAATAAGATACAAGAATCATTGACGCTTGCAACAGGATAAACTACAAAAATAATTTGAATTCCAACAAGAATAGAAAAGGAATTAACTTTTGATTTGTTCCGCTTACTAAAATCAAAATTGTCAAAACTTTCTTTTTGTTTCTTCTAAGAAGTCAAACTGAAGCTTCAAGTCAAGCTAAGGTTAAGTCAATTGAAAGCAAAATCTAATCCCTAAACTCCTGCGCAAACATTTCTTCAAACATTTGATCGCTAAAGAATTATTCTAGTCAGTACGGTACTTTGGAAGAGCAAATGGGTTTGAGTATAGAAGATGATGATGGCATGTCTTTAATTATACTGCAATGAGACGTTCTTTGTATTCTTCTTTCAGTGTTCTGTCCCTTTCCAAGCAGCGCATTAACCGGCCAGGCGCGCAATTCAGACGTACATACAGCGTATCTCTATCGCTATGACGAGAGTTAGTCATTCCTCATTGACGTAGAGTTCCACTTTGATAAGATCTCGATGAATTTCCTTAAAGGGTTGAAGTGACGCGTTGACCTTATTTTTGGTTCAAGCCATCATTTACAACACCGTGCTTTCCTGCCAATGTTTTTTCCTGAAGTGGGTATAAATTGGATAATTTCCCCTTTGGTCCTTAACAAAGTCATCTGATGGTGAAGTAAAAAGAAACGCATCCTGTTTTTCGTAAGTTTGTGGGTTGAAAAACTGTTAACTTTGCACGTCTTCGCTATCCAATGTGATGAAGCCATAGTTTGCTTGCATGACTTGGGGAAGTCAGTCGTGATGCTCTAAATAGATGCGTAGCACATTACATACAGATATACATCAGTCTTGAAAATTAAAGCTAGAACTAACAGAGGAATGAACGAATTGTATTTCGTTGTTAATCACGCATACGAGCGGTAATCGTAGAAGTAAACTTTGAAAGCCGCAGCTAGCCAAAGCAGCACAAAGCGGCTCCATCTATAAACTCCATATGATCAAGGAATTCGTTTCAATTCCTAAGCTTTACGATGTCGGTCTGTGAAGTGCGCGCTTAGGCCTTTTCATTTCCGTTTTCTAGTAAACTGCTAAACACCGATGAGAAAACGAGCAGGAAAGCCGCTACTTGAAGAATTAGGGCCGCAGGTCGTGTGTTCCTTATAACAATGTACATGCCGTTCAAATAAGTACACCTAACAAAGCTCGGCACATCAAAGCAATCCCTTCAATCCAAACAGACCGTATTGATTTAAAGAATAGCCATGATCGTCACACTGGTTATTATTCACAATCACGACCGAGAGTCGGTACACAATGTGAATTGAGCGCAAAAAAAAGCGAGCCCTCGCTACTTTAAGACTCGACCAAAAGCACACCAAGAATGATCTACTTGTGTTGTTCGCTCCCGCCAACCATCGTCTACGATCCACTTCAAAAATGGTGTATCCGGAAGGAAACTATGACCAAGATTTAGAAGAGGCATCCAGGTGTAGCAGTGTCTTCCTACGTACAGTCGAATAATATCTAAGACACATAGCTCATCATTGTCCAGTTCCGCAGAGTAAATTAAAAAAATTATTAATTCGTCTGTCGACCAATCAAAATACACGTGGATGTCGCAGCTTTTGGTGGATTGTAGGTCTATATAACAGCGTAGCACACGTCTGTGAGCCCCAGTTATCGCATGACGAACAAGAAAATGGCAAAGTTGTCTTTGACAAATTTCGTGCGATTCATTCTCATTTCAATCTGTGTACACAATGTTTTAGAGACAAATTCTAAAAATATGTTATTGTAAGTAGAGCGGTAGATTTGTGACGCTGACATGCTGCTTTCTTTAGAGAATTCTGATGTGTTTTTCTGTCGTTTCATCAGTGTCGCCTCTGTCACCTTTCCTCCAAGAATCATCTGCACACGCATCAAGGGACTTTCAGCGCAACAAATGCGTTTCTGTGAGAAAAACCCGGCTGCCATGGAATCGATTACAGATGGATATCATCTTGGCGTGGATGAATGCAAATATCAGTTTCGTAAAAGGCGGTGGAACTGTACCTCCCTTGGCTCTAAGCACACGTTCAGCAGTCATGCAGTGCGTAAGTACAGTATTTTATAGTTTAGTTTAGTGAAGGTATTTAACATCATGACTAACTGATCCCCACCAAGTAGTCCAAGGATTAGTAAACTATTTATTTACACAAGGGGTTTGCGAAGCTACTTGAAAATATATGTAGATGAGTCATTCATCTCAAGTCATCCTTCCGCAGTCTCGAGGGTGTGTTTATACTATACTTTACTGTGTCATTGACTCGTGCTTAGGGAACTTGATTACTAAGGGCTTTGGGAGGATTTTGGCGGCATTACCTAATAAAAGCACTAGCGTTTTGGTTCTTTACGAACAAAAGGATAACTGATAAAAGAGCTACTTGAGCCGCTGGATTGGCGATCTAGGTTCATCACGAAATCTCGCCTGAATCTTATAAAACTGTATACTTGCAGAAGGCGAGATATTGCGTTGACAGATAACACTTGGTAACTATGTTTGATCAAATGTCAAGGAGGATTATTACACGCTCTCATACTAAGTGCTTATCTTTTCAAACTTGACTGTCAAGAATGATACTCCGCTCAGGCATGCTATCCGTTATATTTATCTAAGCTCTTACTCATCGTGACTCGTGTTTCTCATAAAGATTCCCAATGAGAACCAACTGACGCTTTGCAACGGCACACCTCAGACTTGCTACTGACTTTCATTATAGTAAATTTTAAAAAAATCTAGAACACGAATTGTTTTCTTTTTCCTTAAAAAAATGCTTTATATTTTCTAAACTTTTTTGATTTTTGCTCGTTCGAAACTTCTATTACTGGAGCAGCGAACGTCAAAAGGTTTAACATTAGGGTAGCTCACACAGAATTATTATATTAAAACGATATTCTTTACGGATTAGAAGTCAATAGCTTTGTTCAAGTGCCGTGTAATCCAATAATCAACCAGCGAAACTAAATCATCCATAAAGAAAGATAGGGGCCGGCTACGAGATGAAAAAATCTGGCTTTCGCGACTGGCTTTAATATTGATACATGAGGTGTGTCTTTCCAGATTTTTTTTCATTTTCTTATAGTCGCAATTTTGTCATCAGTGTTCAGAAATCCCTCTTTGCTGTCTTAAACTCTGTTCACCCGTAGCCCATAAAAATAAACTAAGGTCATTGTTAAATTAGTTGGAACTATTGAAAGAAAAAATTCTATCGACAAATTCCTATGAAGAGCATTACAAAATTTCCTGTGTATAGTATGAAGACTTTGAGGCAGGCATATTGGGAGAGCGACAGTTTTTCCTTTGCATATGAATATATATATATGGATAGTTAGATACGACATTCACATATTGAATAAGTTTTTGTTCTTCATGTTGTATGTATAATGGTTGTTTGTGTTTATTTTCCGAACAGCTGGAACCAAGGAGTCAGCCTTTACTCATGCCATCATTTCAGCAGGCATCGCACACGCAGTTACACTAGCTTGCACCAAGGGGAACTACAGCAATTGTGGCTGCGATCTTTCTCTAAAGGGGGTCAGGAGCTCAGACGGATCATGGATCTGGGGAGGCTGTAGCGTGAACATAAACCGTGGAATAGAGGTTGCCGATGCGTTTCTTGATGGACAAGATACCAGCCAGTCGGATATTGCATTGATGAACAAGCACAACAATAGATTGGGGGGCCAGGTAAGTGATTCTATGCTTCTTGAATAACTATACGCTGAATACCCCAGGCCTAACTTAATATAACGCCTATAATATATGTATATAATGATATAATTACTGTTCTAATAACCCATTGACAATGGAAACTAATCATTGAACGATTGTCTGGCCAGCTACGCTTTATCTTGCCGACATAGCTAAATTAGCACGCGACAACTTTCTTGGATTCGCGGTCATTTGGCTGCTTATTGAACAAACAGCAAAGTCTTGAACAAAAATCTATTTGCTCCGTGTGTCTATGTGTGCGTATGGGTATTGTGACATACCATACCATACGATGTGAAGACATACCATGAAGAAGCTATAGAATATTGGCAATCCAGACAGTGTTTATTAAACACACCGAGACGGCTATTGAGGGGTTAATTTGCACACCGCTAAACCACAGATCGTAATTACATCGGAAATGAGTTCTCGGGGTATCTGGATTGATCGAACGCGGTTATATATCAGTCTTGGCTGTTGTTAAATCCAATTTCATCCAATTTTGCTCCCACGTCAGTAAACATTATGGGGCAATATTAAAAATATACGGTGTTCTTTTGGAACGAGCAGCCTTTATTTGAGGTTTACTCTTTCTGATGGAAGCCTATTACTAGCCGGCGAGATGCTTAGAAAAACTCAAACAATTTGATATATTTAGATAGTCTATTAACTGGAAAATGAAATGAAAAGTGTTTAGTGAACTAATCCCCCTTCAAGCTGTCGCCACATCTCAAAAATACACTTGAATAAGATCCATTCATTGTTTGAATTTTTTTTATACTGAAAAAAAAAGCGAAGAAGTGCGTGCGTTTGTGACAAACGCTTCCCCTCTCACCACGGTGCACCGCGCTTTAATTTTCCTCAGAAGATAAGAGACAATAAGTCTACAAAAGGCTTAGTCAAACGTAAATGATCTTCTTTGGATCTCGGAATGCAGTAATATTGCTTCCCAATTAACATTTCCAATAGTGTTTTGATCAGCCGAGACTCAAATTGCATATATTGGAATATAGAACTAGGTTAATAAGTATAGGATGTGTCAGAGTGACTAGTGATGCAGGGTTTTTACGAAGGCTCTTGCGTATGTGAAACGTCTTATACCGTACCTCTCCGTAGCATCTTTTTCAGCCAAACTTTTTCTTGCCAATGTTGTGTTATTGTTCTCTAAACAGCGTGCATTCTGCTGGCTTAATATACACCTAGTGAATGAATCAAAACAAACGGCTTCTATTTAATATGTGGGTTATTTAATAACATGACAGTAACGTGCTGTATCTGTTAGTATAAACGAGTATTTGATGAAATACCTTAAAAGGAATGACTGTCATGGATTATTTACGCACAGCTTGTTCAACTGTAAACATAAGAATGAAAAATAGCCCAAAGAATAGAACGATGCTTGACTTTACTTAAGTAGGAGATTTTATTGAAGATCTTGCTTTTATTATTTAGTACATGACTGGGGCTTGAAATACAAAGGGTTATAAATGTCTTATTTTTAACATGCCTGACACAAGTTTAGTGGTAAAGAGGGGCAAAATGCATGGATACTGCCGCGTGCCCTTGGACTTGTAATCGTCATATGCCCTGAAATCCAATAATAAAAGTACTTGATAAAAAGTAAAGCGATTGATAGTGATAAGGTTACTTTATATACTTGATCTTATCTGGGTGTTAACAACGTGAACTGCCGAAACTGCCAGCCCATCTCAAGCAACTCAAGGCTATCGATCTCAGTAGGGACTCGCAGGACAATCAATTCATTAAATCGATAGCTTGTCAGACGGGAACACTATTGGATGCAATATATATATGCAATGCCACCCGGTCAAGACCACGAGTTTGGAGTCACTTTATATGGAATCAACATGAAGAAGAGTACGTGAACTTATATCAACAACATCGCTGGAAGCCGTCGACTCAGTTTGATCATTTAGTAAACACTGCTCATTAGGATACTTTATAAGAAGATATAACTAGCTAAAAACTAGTATGATGGATAGTAGTATGGATATACAAGCATAGAGTATTAAATCGAAGTAAACGAGAAAAAAAAGATTTAAACCGTGTATACTCGATAAAGTAGATGTACACTGAGACAATAACACACAAATGCTCACACAGTTTAGTGTACCTTGAGTTTACCAGTGATTTGTCCTCATGTCCACAGTACAAATGTAGACTGGGCTTTACGTTTAGCAATAAAGAAAATGCCCAAACGCCAAAAGTGTCCCGTCGCGAATGAAATTAAATCACGCGAGCTCAGCATGTGTTAGAGGCTGTTCGTAATTAAACTTTGTCGGAATAGAATACAAATATAAGTCTTGCTCTTGAGCCTTAAGTGTTGTTGATAAACCAAAGACAAGTTTTATTCACAATGCAATATCTATCAGTGTAGCGGATAAACGGCTTGCTGTGTTAGTTTCCAATGCTGAGCACTAAAGATTAGTCCCGGATCTTGATTAAGGAGATCCGTCGTTATTTGGCGATTATTGGAATTATCGGGAACGAAAACATATGATTAAGACTTAATCGGTCTGAAAAATATTAGTTTATCTACAGTATGAAATTCAGCTACAGAACCAACAATGACAAAGTCAAAAGCTGAAATAAAAGAATTTTAAACTAGTTTAAACCATTTCAAATGCAGTGTAAACGAGCTTGAATGAGTTGGTTAGTTCAGTAAAATTCTTCAAGAAATTTGATTGAAATTCCAAGCCACCTTTCCTTTTTGGGGGTTAAATTCAGGCAGCACAAGAAATCACATACAACGCTTCATACTAGGCCCGGGTGTAAACCAAATGTATTAACATATTAGAAGTCCACCATTCTTTGGTCAAGTTGCTGCCATCAAGTTCCTGAGCTGAACAGCGAGAAAATAAAGAAGAACAGTCTCAAGTACTAAGGGCTGCAGGCCCCGCAACGAGACAAGCCAAGACAATGGCTATCCTTAAAAGCATCCTGGAATACTTTCAGAACTATAAATAGCTCAGTGCAAAGCAAGGAAGCTGTGGAAGCCTGGTGGGCGTACATGGCGTAGGTTGGTCTTTCAAACAATAGGCTGGGTCGACACAGACATGCACCTAATGAAGCTGGCAAATTCATCTCACCATATTCAAAAGATGAAGCCACCTTTAATCTTTCATTATGCAGCCAGAAGCAAGTCCTGGGTGAAGTGTAAATAAATCTCCCTCCATGCAACTATCTAGATACTTTATAGCATTTAATAACAGACAGCAGTTGCCTGAATTCTGAGCAAATCTGATGCTCGGTTCCCCCTTTAACAATTTTTCGTTTTTTAGTTCTAAATGAATCCTAATATTTAGCGTTAATTGTAAAAAAAGATTTGTTTCCGTGGAGTGGTGGTATACGATCGTTTCATAGCCGCAAGATACTTTGTATAGCATATTCCTTCTTCTAGTCTGAGAACTAATGTAATCCCCACGGGATTTTTTATGAAGAAAAATAAGCCTTTGATTCCCATACTCAGCATCACATGCAAGTAGAGTTTGTTAGTTCTCTTCCTTGGTTCATGGGTGTTTCTCCAGGTTCTCCGATTTTCCTCCCTCTGCAAAACCTAACACACTACTAAATTCCAATCAGATTGTGCCCTGACCGTTGATCAGCACAGAGGCTGTTTCAGGGTATGGTTAAAAATTGAATGTATTTTTCCTTTTGGTGTTGTGGAGAGAGCGTAAAACAGAACAATCTCAGTGTATTGTAAGATGAATTATCGTTCATTCCAAATCAAACCTCGAAATTCCAAGCTTTTCCTTCGATATCGATTTTTTCCGGCTTACCCAAAATTACTATCAATATATACATACATACCATAGTCAAAAATAAATGGTTTGGAAGCAAATCCAAAATGCAAGCTGAGAAACTGTATGATAGGCAAAGTTATTCGAGTTTCAAGAAATTTCGTAGCATCTCTTTCCGGGAAAAAAGATCGAGGAGAAGGAGGTTTAAGCTAATTGCCTGACACCTTGAAATGATGCTCCAAAATGGAAAATAAAAAATTATATCTATGTGCGGGTTTTTAATAATCTGCAAATCTTTGTGTCTCAGATTTTGAAAAGTATTGTACTGTTTTTAAGATTTCCAAAACACTTTCTGTATAGGTAATAAGGGATAACTTGGACTTGCAATGCAAATGCCACGGTCCTTCAGGATCATGCAACATGCGTACGTGCTGGAAGTGGGTGCCTTTGTTTCGCACAGTTGGCGATAAGTTGAAAGGATTTTACTCCGACAGAAAAAAATCCTTTCAGGTCGAGGCAGTATCCAAACGATCCACGGCAGGACTAGTGCCTGCTTACCTGGTTCTGAAGAACAACAAGAACGTCAAACCCGAAAAGTTTACAAACTTGGTGTGGCTTAGATCTTCACCGAACTACTGTGACAAGATTGAATCGCTCGGTGTTGTTGGGACAATTGGAAGAGAGTGCAACAAGGAATATGGATCGCAGCGCAAGAGCAGTTGTGAGGTCTTGTGTTGTGGGCGAGGCTATAATGTTCGTGAAACTGTGCGTATATCACAGTGTCTCTGCAAGTTTTATTGGTGTTGTGAAGTTCGATGTAAATCCTGTTCACGAAAGGAAATGGTACACACTTGTCAGTAGAAGATTCTTGCTGCAGGGCGGAAAAGAACTGACCAGCATGGACAGTGCACTTTGATCTGATATTCACGGAATAGACAATATTTTAAAGATATCTTGATTGAATGACTTGATATACTGATTGCTCTGCTGTGCTCCCATCCTACTGTAAACTTAACAAAATTCAGCTATTGGACATTATTCTTATTTATGATTCACCTATCACTGGCTTGTAAAACTAGAACTGTTAAGAAATACGACTACGAGTCCAAGAACACTAAGCAATATCTATATTCAGCATTTTCATCATTTCACATTGAGTTAGTTTTATGACGACTGGCTTTACTAGGTTGTATAATATCGAGAATTTTAAGAAATTAAGGCTACTTTTTTCTTTACTTTGCTGGCTTCTACATGGCTGTGAATGCTGCAGACTCTGGAGTCGAGAAAAGGAAAAAGAAATTTAGTAAATGAAAAAATTTAGTAAATGAAAAGGAACATGTCACTATTGTTATCCATTTCTCTCCTTCAAAGTGCATAGCATTATATTGGCCATGAGAAATTTGTCAAGGGTGTTAAGTGCTAAGGTCGTCTGATGTTATCTGAATGATACTGATAAGTAGAAATGAAAATTGGAAATGAACTGTGCATACTGGGAAAGTAGCTTAGACTCGATAGAACCTGTTTAATTAGAATATAATATATATCGCCCAAAATTTGTCAAATATCAATTATAAGCAGTCTCAAATGTAAGCAACTGAATAACCTCGCGGGTAATCGAGTTAAATATGTTAATAGCTGATTAGATGTGCAGGTGTATTTATAGATTAATTGTATTTATGAAAATTTGTTTGTAATATTTAGGATTTGATGGAGAATTTTAGCTTAACGTAACTTTGGACAATTCTTTATGAATTGAAGTACTTTATCGGCAGGGTCCATTTCCATACGTATCCTTGTATATTTTCTATTTTGGGATAAATTATCAATTATTTCTAATCAATGATGTATGAGTGAATGAAGACGCCCTTTTAAATCGTAGTTATTTATTATAGGAAGTGAACATTTTGACAGTGACCTTGTATTTAATAAACTAGGCTATAAACGCATGGTTATGACAATGTATGGGGAAATGTATGGCATTTTATTTATAGTAATTCTTTGAAGACAGCTGAGTGTGAATTTGTACAAACCACGTGACTAACTAGACGCGCTTTCTTCGGCTATCTTGAGAGCGAGTTAATACTTGAAGCCTTTGTTCGGCTGAGAGGCCAAAGTCCAGCTTACAGGTAGGAATTCGCCATTTTCACTTTCCCCATAATGCAGCGCGGGTTTGGGGAGTAACCGGGGTGAAACCGCACATATTATGCTAAAGACTGATTAGACGATGTTGTAAATGCGTCTTAGAATATTTAAAGGTGTATTAACGATGGACACGTTAATGAAGATGTTAAAATAAAAAATTTAAAGATTTTATATTAATATTTAAAAAGAAACAAAGAACTAACCTGTTTAACTGATTATCAGTATAGTTAGCAGATAGAAGCAGGTATAGTGTACATTCGATTAAAGAACGTTTAATCTGATGACCTCTTACCCTCCCCCTTCCTCCCCCGTCCCCTCCCCCCACCCAAAAAATGCAAAGTGAGGAATGTGAAAATGGCAAATCTAGATCAATGGGTGCGTTTCAAGATGGAGTTAGAAAGTTAAAGCTATGCTATTATAAAGGTTTAATCATATAGTATCTAAATTCACAGTATCATTAAGGCACAGGCTTAATAACGCAATAAAGCAATTTTTAGTCTTCATCTTGTTTGAATTAATCTGTTATATAGAGATCCGGAGTTTGACCATGGTTTTGAATGTGATATAGCTATATTGGCTGGCTCTAATCCTTGGCAAAGGCAAGGAACAAAGTGATGTTAGACGGGTTGACTAAGCGAGTGACCTGTATTCTTCTGGAATGGTAATACCTAATTGCATAAACTGACTCTGATGCATGTTGCCTAACCAGTTACACTGATATAATCAACCGCGCTACTCATCTCTCATGACCAGAAGGTACTAATATTCTCAGTGCACTAATCATTGAGCATTGCAGCTCAAACCACCATTCATTTTGTATCCATTACATTATTTGTCGAGCAGATTCATTTCCTGTTACTATACATATCATAACATGCATATTTCTCATACTCTACGTTCACATTTTAGTTCTATGGTCCACTTTCCTTTTATATACGGCTCCACAACAAATACATAATTACCAATCTCTACTTGGTCTTATTTCTTCTCGCACTATTCTCACACAAGAGGCACTTCTTCTTATCTGTGTTCCTGATTTTCAGTTTCTATTATTCTCACCCAAAATG